TTTTGTATATTCAACTGAAACTCTTTAAGACTTCTAAAAAGTCAGCATATATACATTTGACTCTTTTGAGGACTTTTTATAAATCTCTAAAAGTCTCAGAGTATTCAATTGAAATTTTCTAAGAGTCTCAATAAGTCACTCAGTATTTAAAGTAGAAAGACTTTATAAAACTTTTTAAATAGGAAGACTTCTAGAGACTTTTTTAATAAAATTACAATGACAAAGTCTCAATAGAAATCTCATCAAATTGGTGAGATTTTGCTCTGGAAGTCTCAAAATTTCCACCCAACACATTAAAAATTTCACAAAATCCACCAAAGTCACTTACTTTAAAAAGTCTTAAAAAGTTTTTAAAAGTCTTAACTGAATATACCTTATTAGTTAGGAAAATCACTAAGTTCGTTAATCAGAGATCAAAAGTTAAAGTGAGTAAGTATAATTTTTTTTCGAAATTTGAGGTAGAAATTCAAAATATATTACTTTTTATTATATTTTAAAATAAATGAATAACATTATTACTTTAAGTTAAAATAACATATATACATAGTAAAAATTTTTTACATTTATTTCTAGTTTTTAAGATATTTCTTCTGTATTAGTTATATATATAAATACACTTAACGAAAATTTCTAAAAATGGAGAAAAAAAATCTCACAACACAATAATCGAAATATAAGTAGAAGAAAAAAAATTCAACAAAATGTTGATTAACTTTGAATCAAAAATTAAAAACTAATCACTACAAACGATAGCTACAACAAAATAAGGCATAACAAAATTGAATTAGCTGTTTTGACCAGCGAATTGTATTAGCGGTTTGTAAAAAAGTGTTTGGTAAAATTAGCTATTTTAGTTAGCTGTTAACATGTAAAATTACTTTTAATGGCATGAACATACTTTATCATTCTAATTTATGTTGAACTTATAATTATTTAGGATATAGAAATAATTAATATTTAAAATATTTATCAAAAGTGATTTAAATATAAAAAAATTAATAATAATTAAAAATATTTCGTTATTACATCATAAAATAGGAATATGTTGTTTCACTCCAAGAACAAATTTACATCCAGCACTAGCAAGAAAAAAAAAAAATCTAGAAATGAAATTGCGACGAAGACCTTCAACAAAAAGGAAGTTCCAAAACAAAAATAAATCAAAATAAAATCTGAAGGACTGATGAAAAAAAGAAAAGCAAAAAAAAAAAAATGTTTCTAAATATTCAAATAGGACACTTGTGATTTTTGTTTTTTTTTTTTTTTTTTTTTTTTTTTTTTTTTTTTTTTTTTCTGAGATAAGCTATTCAAAACGCTCCAATTCCTAGCGTCTACGTTTTTAGCGGATTGACACAAAAAGCTGATTTCAAACGCTAATTACCAAACACCCTTTTTAGTTGGCTAGGAAAAAGTCAAAAAAGCTAATTATGCAAAAACGCTAAAATGGTGCAAAACGCCATTTATCAAACAAGCCCTGTATCAATAAAAAAGCCAACAAAATAAGACATAACAAACTAAATCAATAAGAAGGCGTATGATCATGGTTTCAAACAATGGTAAATGCAACATTAATTTAGAAATGAAAGATAAAAAAATCACAAACAATCAACAAATACTAAAAACTAAAAACTAAAAAACTGATTTATTTTATTTTTTTTATTTAAAAAAATATTTATTTTTTTGAAATCATAGCTTTAGATTAATACCATTATAGATTACATTTCAGTTATATTTAGATTATTAAGCTAATGATTTAAAAAAAAAAAAGTATAAATTCAATAATAAAAACTTTTAAAATAAGAAATATTAACAATCCCGTGCGTAGTACATGTTCCTAGTTAAGCTAAAAGTTCAGCTCCTCGTCGCTCAAAACTCTCCTGCAGCCATGTCCTCATTTTCCCCAAAAAAAGTCTTCTCATTTTATCTTCAATAGTCAAATGAATCTGTAAAAGCCACCCACCCACCCACCCCCACGCATTATACGATCAGTGTATCCCTTACAAATTTTACCACACTACGTACCAGTACATCTCGATGATGCGGCAAATTAGTTTGCTTATTAAGAAAATCGAGTAATCAATCAAATCAAAACATATAATCTGAAACAGTCGAAAACTTCAAGGACAGTTATGACAAGAGGCAACTTCGTGTATCGTTTGTACCTCGTGCTGCTGACGAGCATTACAAAGAGAACCATATTACAGTGCCAAAACTAATGTTTACTTGCAACTCAGCAAGTACGCGTCCCATCCTTGAAGCCGATATTCTCTAGCTGCATCGGCAGGGTTTGCTGCTTTAATAATTCCACGCCCAACAATAATGATGTCACTGCCTCTCTCCGAAATGACCTGAAATGCATACATTTCTCTTTTACCATATCAAAGAGCCACGAGATGAATCGAACTTTTAAGGAGATCATTACTCGGGAGTCGGGACAATTCAGAAGCACAAAATATATCAAGGAGAAAAATATTAAACATGTAACATTTTTATGCTAGTTATAATTGGAAATTATCAACATAATTTTGTCCATAATTTTGTCCATTTTAATTTACAACTGCACTGAAGAGTTGAAAGATAGTGCAGCATTCATAATACGTGCCTCCTTAATGGTCAGTAAGACGAGACGGAACTGTATATTAATTAAAATGGGAAACAATGTCGAAGTATCCCATACGCAATGGGCCTAGCATCCAACTGCTGTCAGGAGCATAAGCAAGAAATATGGAACTTTTGGAAATCCATATGTCTCCTCATTTTTTCAAGATATGAAATACCTTTTCAGCTAAAAGTAAGGAAGCGTGGGAGGATCCCATTAATCTAGAACAATAATTTTTGAAGCGTAGTGAAATAATTCAGATAGAGCCAATGAAATAGAAACCTAACAAGTTATTAGCTACAGAAACAAAGTAACAGAATAGATCTAGAAGATTCATAAATCAAGGAATCAGTGATAGGCGCTAGTATACTGTAAGTATTTTGCATAAAGAATCACAGGAAAGCTACAAGATGTTGTCATCATATGTTATGAAATGATGTTGGGCCTATGAGATCTTGAATAATAGGTTGAAAAATATATGTCCAACTAAGATTTTTGGCATTTTTATCAGGAATATGTAACATAATGCACCAAATTCGACCCACAGCCCCTACTGAAATAACACGATATAAAGAGGTACATGAATAGGACTTCTACCCATATAGAAAAATAATCTTTAATGAGAGCTGCAGAACGTAGCGAGCTTACACACAAAATATAAAACATGCAATCCTAAAATAAATTAAGTGCTCAATGAGTTCAACCTAAGGCTTCATCTTGACATCCTCAAATATCTTCCTAAATCAAGGCATGAGCTACAGAAGCAGGCTAACCCTTCTCTTCTCATAAAACTTCGTAGCAAACCTTCAATGTAATATGAAGCTGCATGATTTACTAGACTACATCGATGGAAAACTTGAATGCAAGTGAACCAATATTATCCACAAGCACTTAAACTCTTACAATTTCATAAACCAGATCACATTTTATTCATAATCATGCTTATTTATTTTTTTCCATTTATTTTACTTAGTTACAAATGGAGGAGATGTTGTACAGAGCTTTTATGCAGACAATGGCCAGAAAAGAGAAGTATGTCTACTTACAGAATGTGGAGTGTTGTATTGTTGGCCCAGAGCATCTCCACCTTTAATCATCTGCACACCAGGAGTTGCATGAATCAGGGATGGGTTTCCTGGTCCACTAGACCATGAAGCTGGATTGACAGATATAAAGCCAATAACAAAATCAGGATGATCTTCAGCTATTTTCACTGCTGCAGCAGTGTAATCGCCCTTGGCAAGGTTACCAGAGGAACTCATTTCAGCAAGCAGCAACAGGCCTCGGCCTCGAGACAAACCCTATCGCATCACAAAACCGATTAATTCAGAATCTAAGTGGCAAACCCGAAGCAGGAAAGTAGCAGATCAGCACCTTTAGTTTTAGGCCATCAACAATTCCTGGTCCTGAAATTATATGGGCATTTATAATATCTGCCCAATCCAATATGCGGAAAATACCCCTGCATAAACCAGAAGAAAAATCTCAGGAAAGCATAAGTCAGTGTCTAACCAATTCAAAGGGAGAACAAGCTCTTACCCTTCATACTGCATAGTGACTGTATTCCCAATATCAGCAAACTTCCTGTCTTCAAATATCAAGAAGTTATGTTTCTCTGCAATCTTCAAAAAGTTGAGCACCATCAATTGTAGCTGAAGTTTACTCCATACCAACAGAAAAACTCGAGCAACACCGAATAGCACACTCATATCACTAGGACGTAGACGTGATTTTTGCAAGTCGCAGCACAAGATCTTTTCCATTTTCAAAAAGTTCACACTAGTTGAGGCAGTTTGCATAGTGTTTCCGGAGTTTTACAAAAAATTCACTTCATAAATTCTTCATTTATCCATCTTTACAGGTAAATAAGACTTATTAGTTTTGTTGGGGTGAATAAATATATGTCCATGAGAAAAATTAAAACTTCTGATATAATAGACCTCCTAACAATATACTGAATTCACTATATTGCTTTTGGGGGTGAACAATATTTGGTCAACAGGGAAATACCGAACGAAGTTTAGATCCAAAATCATGAGTGAAATCGGGCAAGATATCCACATGAGTTTTTAACATGCAGATCTCAGGTCCAACCTGCAGAAACAAAGATGGGGCCAGATCATTGACAAGAAAACAAATGCCAAAGAAATATCTTGGTCATATCGATCATAAAATATTATGAAATAAATAGCACTGTCAGGAAAAAGTACAATAGCACCAATGGAGAACTAATTTGCCAAAACAAAAGTGCTGAGATATGATGTTCCCAATTTATCAGCTTCAGGACAACTTATACATTATAATTGCAATAATATTTCCGACTTCTACTGCATTTAATAACAAAAATTATTTTCCTATAATTATTAAAAATGGGTGACATTAAATGCAGAGGATCTGATTTCACCAAAAAAACGAAAAAAAAAGAAGGAAATTTCACATGACAGACAGAATAACAGAAGGAACAGATGTAACTTAAAATCATTGAAAAGAACAAATATTTGGAAGGCTTGAGAAATTGGGACTGAGAACTTATCGGTGTTTATAAATTCCAACAATAGGCAGGCAGTCAGGATTTAATACGTCAGTGACATTGTACAAGCACGTGCATTTATGAATTTTATGTCAATCAGATGATATATAAACATATGGCTTCCAGAAAGAGGGCAGGGGAAGAATCAGAATATTGATTTTTTTATTACTCACCCTCTCTGCAATATCAAGCAACTCTGCAGCAGTAGAGACATCAGCAGCCAGGCACAAGTTTGATTCTTTCTGCACCATTATCTCAAACAACTTTTTACCAGTTGGATTTTTTGCCATCTTCATCCTCTCTACAAATGGAATTCTAACTCCAATTTTCTTCTCAGATACTGGCGCCAAGGGAACTGACACCTTTCGATTCTCCTCCAAGAACTTCATAACCATCTTCTCTGTCTCCTCTGATACTCTCCCCTTCTCCTTCAATATCCTCACCATGTCACTCAACTTCACCATTGCGTGAAGTGTGATGCCGTTCTCTGCCAAGTTTTCCCTCCCTCCTTGTTCCCTTTACCAAATTGTGAGCGAGAAAACAATAAATTGTAAGAAAAACACATAACAAGAAGCTTCAGGATGCACACAGAGAAGACATTGATAATTTGTAAGAAGCTTTAAGCCAATCTACGCATGAAGGTGGAAAATTAAGTGTGTGTTTGGAAACACTTTTGAAATGGGCTTCTAGACTTAAAAGTCCATCTCAATAATTTTAGGGTGTTTGGTGATTTATATTGAATGCACTTTTGAGAAAAGTCACTTCTCAATAAGTCCATTTGGTAGAAGTTAGAATTAGCTACTTCTAAAATCTATTTCACAATTATTCCCAATAAGTAACTAAAGCACTTATTTAAAATGAGATTCACCAAACATATGTGAAAATTGTGTAAGAACTTTTGTAAATGCACTTAATGAAAAGTCCATTTTTAAGATGGACTTTTGTAGAACAAGTGCTCCCAAACAAAGCCTAAATATTACAACAAAGAGAGTTAAACATCTACAGGCAAACAAACAGCGCACTCGAAGATCTCTAGAATCAGCAACTCGTAGATATCTAGAATCAGCAATTCTTTTATATCCAAGATAAGTTCAAATGGAATATGTAACACAGGTCATGCATAAAAAAAAAATAATAATAATAATAATTGAAGAAATCAGATAGACGAAAGAACGCTGTTGAACACTCAACGCTGACTCTGAAACATTAGTTAACATTTATATCAGAATCATCATTTTCCCTCTAAAAGTAAGAAGGATGGATAAATGCATATTTATACGATGCCCAATCAGTACCTGTCAATCATAACAACGGCATCCGTGACCTTCAGCCCGGCCTTACGAAGCGGCGCCGCCGTCTCAAGAACGGACGTACCGCTGGTAACGAGATCCTCGACAATGAGACAAACTTGATTCTGATCGAAGGCCCCCTCAATAGCCTTGGCTGTCCCGTAGTCCTTGACCTCCTTGCGGCGCATGACCATGGGAATGTTGGAAGAGAGGGAAATGCAGGTGGCTATGGGGAGGGCGGTGTAAGGAACGCCACAGACGACTTCGTAACGGGTGGAGGAATGAAGGGTGGCAACGAGGGTCTGGGAGATTTGGCGGAGCAGCGCCGGGTAGGAGACGATGAGGCGGAGGTCGATGTAGATAGGGGAGTAGATGCCCGATTTCAGCTTGAAATTGCCGAATTTGACGGCGGAGATGTCGTGGAGCTGGAGGATAAGGGATTCCATTGATGGTGGAGGAGATGACATTGGAAGCGAACAAGGGTTTTAGCTTAGATGGTGAGTTGCGACTTATTGTGAGTGTGTTTTTTTGTGTAGTAGAGTAAATGCAAAATATGAAAGGATAGTAATGCTAGGAGCCAACTGTTGTGATAACTCTATGTGGGGTTGTCCACATTAGAGTCATGTTGGACAGCCCCACATGGAGCTGTATAATTGGTTGTTGGCTTCATAACGGAGCCAACAGTTGGCTCCATCATTACTGAGTACTTATCTCGTGCGGAGACAAAGATATTATATGAGTTATTTTCACAGTCTTGTCAATTTAAATCTAAAAAGTAATAATGTTATTATTTATTTTTTACCTCTTTTAATCAACATAAAGTCTAAAAAATTATTAAACCGCCCTCTGGCAAATATGTATGAAGTTATGTGTTCGTGTCTCATAAGTCACAAACATTATGAATAACATTACAAATTATTCATTCAAACTTTTATTCATTGCAAATATATTAAAATAGTTTATATGACAACCATTAAATACTACTTTCAATATATTTATAAATAAAAAGTACATAAAATTTCTGGTGTGTTCAAATTTAAATAATTTTTTGTGGTTCAATTTTAAATCATCCAGACATTTGGTCAAACACATAGGTGTGTTCAAATTTGAATCATTGACATTTTGGTCGATTGAAATTTAAATCATCTACCATGACACTGTGATGTGTATTATATATATGCAATTTTTTAACAAATAATATGTGCTTTATAAAAATAATAATAATAATTTCACAATATTTTAAACGTAAAATTTGGTTTTTTAATCACAATAGAAAAATCATGGTAAGATGTATTGAAAATGTGTTATGAGATAAAACAATTAAATAAAATACATGATGGAAATAGAATGCATTAATTAAATAACATAATATTAAGTATAGATGTGCATGTAAGATTTTTTAAACTATTTTGTAAAAAAAAAATATGTCTAAAAATAATTAAACTTAATATGTGTTATGTATATGTGAGTTTAAAATAAATAAATAATAAATGTACAACTGAAAAAGTTACAACCAATTGTATGGAGAATTAAACTAAATCCAATTTTGTAGGATGCATTAAATATTGATCACATGTTATATGTAAAATAAAATAAAAAATAACTGGAATAAGTTTAAGTGTTGCAATATTTTATATTTAAAAAAAATTAGAAAATCTTTTTTTATTGCATACCAACATTTTAGGAACTACATGGATATTCCTAAATTAATATTGCATACCCAATATTTTAGGAACTAATTAAATGCTAATTTAATTTGCATACCCAAAATATTAGATGTGTTAATTAAATACTTGATAAAATTAGAAATTTATTAATTAAGTTTGACTTTTCTAACTACTATATTAGACGTGGCCAGGTGCCGGGTCCGGGCCCGGCCCGGCCCGGCCCGCCGGGCCACGGGTCCGGAAATGGTGGAACCGGGACCGGCCCGGTTGGAACGAAGGGCCGGTTCGTAGAACCGGCCCGAACCGCCGGTTCACCGGCCCGGCGGTTCACGGGCCGGTACGGCCCTTAAAAAAAGCAAAAGAAATGACCCGGCCCGGCCCGGCCCGGCGGGACCAACAAAAAAAACCCGTGACCCTTAACCGGACCGGATTGGCCGCGGTCCGGTTCTCGAACCCGGCACTGTTCATGCCGGTACCGGTACCGGGCCGGGCCGGGCCGGTACCGGGTCACGGGTCGGGCCACGGGCCGGGCCGCCCGTGGCCATGTCTGTACTATATTTAGTAAATATGATCCTCTTTAATATAAGTATAGATTAAGGGCTTGCTTGTATACAAATTAATTTACTTACTTTTATTTCAACTCAAAATCTAATTCAACTTTAACTCACCTCCACTATCTTTAATATTATTCATATAACTAAATAATACAAACCAATCATTCTTACACATCACATCAACTTTAATTCACTATTCATTCACTTACATAATTTTAACGACCAATCATTTCCAATTATTTATCTCTTACTTTTACATCAAATCAATTTTAATCATTTTATTTTAAATATTATTTTAATACATTCTTAATATTTCACTACAACTAACCATAATACCTTTTCCAAAATTAACTATGGTTAACCAAAATAACTCAATTTGAACAAATTATTTCATAAACAATCAAGCCCTAAGTTTTTCATCCAACAAAAGCGTGAAATAAATTATGCAATAAAATATGCGACAGACAGATAAAGATAACCAATAAAATGCGAAACAAATTATGTGATAAAATACAGGATAGATAGATGAAGATAATCGAAAAAGTGTGAAATAAATCATATGATAAACTACACGATAGATAGGCGAAAATAATCTATAAAGTGCGAAAAATCATGTACACAATATGCGACACACAGACGAAAAGAATTGACAAAATGCGAACTATTTATGCGAAAGAGAGAAGAAAATAATTGATAAAATAAAAAAGACTTATGCGACAACCATTGTTCTAAAAATCAGCCTAGGCAGCCGCCTAGGCGGTGCCCGGGCGCCTCCGATTTGCCAAAATCGGCAGAAAAAAATCGATCAGGCGTCTGGGTGGGCCTAAGCGGCCGTAGGCGCTTCTAGGCGGCCAAGCGGTTAGGCGGCGCCTAGGCGCTCCTAGGCGGGCTCGGCGGCAATTTTTCAGTTTTTTTTTTTTTTTAAAAAATACTAATTACATTATTTTTTTCGTATGTTTTATTTAAAATAGATTAATATTATTATTTGGACTTAGGTATGACGATTTGTTATAATTTGATATAGTTTTATTTTGTAGGTAGTTAAAATAAATAAAAAAATTATGTATTTAATATTGATTTCTAGGCCCGACTAGACGTCGCCTAGCCCCCGCCTAGGCGCTCTAGGCGCTAGGCGCTGGTTGAGCGCCTATCGACTTTTAGAACACTGGCGACAACTATGCGAAAGAGATAAGAAGATAATTGATAAAATGCGAAATATTTATGCGCTAAACTACGTGACATGCATGTCACGATAATCGATGAAGTGCGAAATAATTATGTGGTAGGATATGCGACAGACAAGCAAAGATAATTGCTAAAGTACGATACAAAATATGCGATAAACAAGAGAGGCAGAGATAATTAATAACGTGCGAAACATATTATGCGATCAACTATGCGACAGACATGCGAAGATAATTGATAAACAAATTATGCAAAAAATAGACGAAGATAATTGAGCAAGTGTGTGTTACTTATGTGATAAATGATGCGATAGACAGATGAAGATAATTGATAAAGTGTAAAATCATTATGCCATAAACTATGCGACAGATAGACAAAGATAATTAAGCAAGTGCGATTTACTTATGCGATAAACTATGCGACAGGAAATCAAAGATAATTGAGCAAGACTATACAACAAACATTTGAAAATAATTGATAAAGTATGAAATATTAATGCGATAAACTATTCGATAAACATGTGAAGATAATTGAGCAAGTGCGAATTACATATGCGATAACTATGCGACAGACAATTTAAGATAATTGAGCAAGTGTGAATTACTTATGCGATACACTATGCAACAAGTAGACAAAGATAAATGAGCAAGTGTCAAGTAGACAAAGATAAATGAGCAAGTGTGAAAACTTATGCAATAAACTATGTGACAGACAGACGCAGTAATTGAGCAAGTGTGAATTACTTATGTGAAAAAATATGCGATAGACAGGCGAATTTCATTGAACAATTGCGAATTACTTATGTGATAACTATACGACATATAAGCGAAGATAACTGATAATGTGCAAAATAAATTATTGGATAAACTACGCAGCAAACAGACGAAGATAATTAAACAACTACGATTTCATTATGCGATAAAATATGCGACAAATGGGTGAAGTTAATTGAGGAAGTGTGTAAGATGCAAAAAAATGTGTGAATAGTTCGATCAATCTTGGTCTGTCGCATTTTAGTCGCAAATTTGCTTCTTACATCTATTTTTATATTTTTTTTTTCAGTTTATTATCAATTATTAACTTTTTTTGTAAGGCCTACAAAGGTCATCCTCTCAACAAAGTTGTACCAGAAACATGTGAAGAGGTTATCAACGTCATGAATCCCCAAAGTTTCTAAGAAATAAAATTCCCAAAGCAATGAGGCAGAGGATCGTGGGTCGGACCGAAATCAACAACCGGAGAAACCAAATGAAAACAATAGGGACAACAACTTGTATAAACTGATCGAGCATACGTTGATCAAAGACGAGAAATGTATGTATCGAAAATGAAAAATACAAAATAAAAAATGAACAACCGGAGGAACCTAATGGACTCTGTTGTAGCCTATAAAAACACCAAGTCCCAAGCCTCCCCCACACATATATTCACACACATAAGGTCTCATTTTCCCACACACACGGCACTACAACATAAATGGCTTTTTGTAGCGCCATCTAATGTATCACTTTACAAATAGGTAATACTTTTGGTAACACTTTACATATATAAGTGTTACCAAAAAACTACCAAAAGTATTACTTATTGTAAAGTGATACATTAGATGGCGCTACAAAAAGCCACACACACACACACATACATTCAAATGAGAACCAAGTGTTAGTGTGAGAACCACTTATAATTGTACGTATTGTTATGATTGATTATATTTTGGTGCTATTTTTAACATGGATGTATTTAATTAAAAACTAGTATTCGACTTTGTGCATTACACAGATGTAAATATGAGTTATTTGTATACATGTAATATCAAAATTATAAGTTATATAATGACATATTATATTTTAAACATAAAGTATTATAAGTTATATTTATGCATATAATATTAAAATTATAAGTTAGAAAATGCAATTATGTTTTAAATTTGATCATTGGTAAAAATAAATAGTACGTAATGATCTGATTGCATATGAATCACTATATTGATTGCATAAAATGAAATAAATGATGCAATTTTTGTACAATAGAGACATCATATTACTTAATTAGCTAAAAAATATT